AGTTTGAAATTAGTAATGACAGGACCACTTTAATGTTAGTGCCACACAGTGTCACATCTGAAACAAAGCAAACCAGATGAGCGTCGTAGTTTTCTTTCTCTAAATGGAAACTGAAGCAAATGTTCAAAGAAAGCACGACCCATTTTACGTCCACAACGTTGCACAACCAAGGATGTCTGTGGTTTTTCATTTTTCAAGCGCTAAACATGACAGCGATGAGCATGTTTCCTTTACGGGACATTACACATAATCTGTGGTTGGCCGGTCACATGAAATTTCCTCTTTGAAGAGCAGAAAAATTATTTTACCATAATGATGCATTTAATATTTGTAGTTTATCTGATACGTGTGTGCGTAGGAATAATAGGTGAGTTCTAATTTTGCTGTTTTGAGATGTCATTTCTCAATTAGGTTTCAGATGTCCACTGCACTAAATATATATTCAATGAAAGAAATGTGTGTGCGTTGTCTTGTATCTTGTTTCAGCTCAGCCAGCTGAACCGCACTCATCTCTTCATCAAGAGACTGATTTTGTTTCTGCTGATGTTGGTGATGAAGTAACTCTGCACTGTTCTTACGAAGGTGAAGCTGCAAGACTTTACTGGTACAAACAAACTCTGGGACAAAAACCAAGGCTCATCTCTACCTACTACAGATATGAGGGAAATGGCATATTTTATAATGAATTCAAAAGTAATCCACGCTTTACGTTAGTTACTGGCATCAGTAAAAATCACTTGAAAATAACAGATCTGCGTGTCTCAGATTCAGCTACTTACTACTGCGCAACAAGCTTTACTTTTATTTTAGAGTTTACCAAAGAAACATATCTCAATGTAAAAGGTTCCAGTTTGGACATCCAGACTTTTGTCCTACAATCACTATCTGAGACCATCCAGCCAGGAGGCTCTGTGACTCTGAACTGTACAGTCCGTACTGGGACCTGTGATGAAGACCACAAGGTTTACTGGTTCAAAGACTCCGAAGACTCTCATCCAGGGCTCATATACACCCATGGAGGCAGGAATGATGAGTGCAAGAAGAAATCAGAGGCACAAGCACACACCTGTGTGTACAGCCTGCCAATGAAGAACTTGAATGTCTCTCATGTTGGGTCCTACTACTGTGCTGTTGCTTTATGTGGACGCTTACTGTTTGGTAATGGGACCAAGCTGAATGTTGAGGGTAAGTAATTTTGGGAAAGGTTCTATTATCTGAACAAGCAACTCACTATCATGTCAAAGTGTGTAAAGGCAGGCCAGTCCACCATGTAAATACATATTAACTGCTTATTTTAATGACCTTTTTCTTTGTAAAGCATTTCCCACTTTGCCTCTCCAAAGCATGAAATGGACATTCATGCAGAAGTTGTAGTAACTTGCACTAAGCTGCACTTACAGCGAAAAATAAAAATATTTTCTTTCCAGCCAACATAAAAATAATCATGGGAAAACCTTTAAACATATTGTTCAGACATTTACAAGTGAATACGTATTAGGTGCCTAGCTTAATGACCTTTTGCTTTATAACTTAACTGATTAAGACACAAATAAGGCTAGACAACGCTGTTATAATGCTGACATAAGGAGGGAGACAGCCTTTCTAACAGTACAGACAAATACGCTTATTATCCAGCACGCTTTAAAATGGTAAATTTAAATGGTCGCATGTTATTAGGTAGAATTGTTTAACAATAAATACATTTAAAAATGTCCATGCAGTATTGTTAATCTCTGTCCGCTACTTGCAGCAGACATTAACCCATAATAAAAAAAATAGTGTCATCAGTATTACCAGACATGGTCGACATCTGTTTGTCTATGGCACAGTTTGTGTTGTATGAGGTGGGTGTATGAGTGGTTCAATCCCTGGCTGCTTCAGTCTGCATGTAACACACTAACCCCAAACTGCTCTCTGATGCGTCAATGAGTGAGTGTGTTACAGAAATTCGAAAACACTTAAACAGAAAAAACGTGCTTGTCTGTATGAGGCATGTTGTATAGAGTGCTCCTGGAGAGTACAAAAGTGCTCTATAAGA